GGCCCAGCCGCCCAGCCGCGGCCCTCCAGCCGCCTGCCCCCGGGGCGGCCAAACAGGTGGGAGCACGCTGCTCCTGGGGTGAGTGCACCCCCGGGGTGTGCTTGATTCGCCCGGTTTGGCCCGTAAGGAAAGAACTGCGGGGCCCCGGAGCCCCGGCGGGCGCAGCCTGACGTCCACTCCAGCAGGAAAATCAGCCGGGAGCTCCCGGCCTGCGCGCCCGGGCCCGGCTGACACAATGGACTTTCCAGCCTGGAAGGGCTTTGACGGTGTCCGGCTTTGACGGTGTCCGGCTTTGACGGTGCCAGCTGTGTTGTATTCCAGCATTTCACTCAGGTTCTCCTTAAGTTCCTCCCTGCGTTCAGAGAAGGAGCATTGACGCCAGCCCGGACGAAAAGGGGGTGCTCGGCCCCCGCCCTGGGGTATGCTGGCCTGTCTGCTTGCACCAGCGTCTGGCGCACCCCCAGACCTGGCACAGGGTGCAGGCAGGGAGGCCCCTGCCGCAGTGACGGTGGGTCCCGCGACCGTGGCCCTGTGCCCAGAGCCGCCTGCAGGGTCTCCCGAGGACCCACCACATGGACGCCAGCCCGGGCAGCCGCGGCGCCCACACACCCTGCGTCCCCCGTGGGGCGGCCAGTGGCCTGGTGTCTGACTCCCGCTCGCCACGCCTGGGGCCGCTGCAGTCCTGGCGAAGCGTGGTGACCCTGCCTGTCCCTGCCGTGACTGCAGGTCTGCAGCGCAGGGCGCCCCTGGACCCCGGGCTCTGGCCGTGCCCACGTCCTGGTCTGGAGCAGGGCAGCTGCCCCACTCTGCTGTGCTGCCCGCCCCTCTTGCCCCACGTCCAGGTCATCAACAGCATCCAGCCGCAGGTTTCTCCCCCTCTGCCTGCCCGGTCTCCTCCAGCCTCAGGGTGGGCACCTGGCCAGTCAGGTCCAGCGTCCCGCCAGGCCGACGCCCACCCAGGCGTGCCCCTGGCCCCAGAGTGGCACCGGCTGGCCGCGCCAGGTCCGCCCAGACTTTGGGCAAAGCAAGGCCTGTGCTCAACTGGGAGCCGGCTGTGTTTTTGAGTCAAGAAAAGCTCCCCGAGTGGACGCCCTCTCTGGCCCACCTGCCCGCGATTTGGCTGGGAACCCCAACTCAGGGAGACTGCCCCTCCGGGCCCGCACGGACGCCCCAGGAGGAGGCTGGGCCTCAGTGCGGCAGGACCCCGCGGCCTGCACTGGGCGGGGCG